CTCAGTTTCGATCAAAGCATGTGGATGCCCTACCTTGTGTCTGATGTCTCTCGCATACACCGATCGACTCTCCAGGTAAGTCGATCTCACAATCTCGCTTGTCTCCCCACTCGCCAATTTATAGAATGAAGAAATCCCTTCATTTCCAGACTCTTCACTTTCTATCCCCTCTGTTCAGTTTCCCCAACTCCTCGATTCCTCTTCTTCCTTTCGGTTGTACCCGACTCGTTTCTTTTTCTTCAGTTTTTTAGACTCTTCAATTCCTCTCCTTTGGGCAGTAAAAACAAGTCATTACAGACATTGCCCATTAATGATAATACAATAGAAATTATTGTCAAGGAACATGTATATAAAATTACAGAACTCCTCAGAAAAACCTTTTCTTTTCAAAACAGCTAGGATAAACTGCCAACTGATTGTGTCATTGGTTTTTTTATGTCTAGTTTAAGAATCACATTTCCAGCCCTAGTTTTTTTCTCCAATTTTTGAATAAGCTCTTGGGCAACTAAAATACAGTATGTTATGCAGATTGTTGAAGATTGATGAGTTCAGGGAGTAAAGGTTGAATTCTTCGGCAAACAATCTTACCCAGTGTTTTAGAAATAATAGAGGTGAGGCTAATAGCTCTATAGCTGTCCCAAAAGTGGCTGTAATCATCCCTAGGAATCAATGTAATGGCAGCGCATCAGAAATATTTGTGAGGGAGAGAACCATGAAAAAAAAACATTGGATTGCCATATTCATTTTGGTTTTAATGGTACCCCAGGCATGAATATAAAAAGCTGTGGTAAAGCCATCTGGATCTGCAGATTTGTTGACATCGATGGCTTTCAGCACTTCAAGAATTTCCTGTTCTTCCGGAATGGCCATGATTTGGATGTTATCAATGGTATAAGCAGTGGTGTTGAACACATCCACACTGAAATCCGCAAGGTCTATCTCAGTTATAGAGTATAGCTCCTGAAAAAATTGTGATAGCACTGTTAATAATCTGATCTTGATTGTAAATCCACTCTCCATTGCCGTCTTTAATTTTAAAAATAGCATTCTCTTGTTTTTGTTGTTTGATACAAGCATGAAAATATTTGCATTTCCTATCCCCCTCGACATAATTAACGTACGTGGCTTTTTGACGCAAGAAATTCAGCTCCACCAGTATCACCACATTGAGATTATCCCGAGCCTTTATCATATCCACTTCATGTACCTGATCATTGTAATAATCCTTCTCCATCTGACAAACCTTTTTTTCCGCCTCCTGGACCCAATGAGTAATGTTGCTGAACACCCTCCAATGCCAGTCTTTTAAAATAGCTGCTTTATTCTTATGTAGCTTCCACAAAGTAACCCAATGCGAGTTAGTAAATTCCATATTTCAACTATTCTTAACCGTATTTTGGAAAGTTTCATGCTTAACCCAAACATTTAAGAATCTGAACGGAGTACTTGTAGGTTTGTTGCTGAAATCAATTTTGACCAATAGAGGGGTGCGATCCGAACCATTGAAACTAAGGTGATCAACTTCAGTGAAGTGGAAGAAATCCATCCACAAATGATTGATCAAAATTCTAGCTAACCTTTCCCAAGTCTTGCTTATCTTTCGTGCCATAATGCTGCACTTCAAACAAACAATTATCTGCTATGTTGTCACTGTATTTCTGCATCCTGGAGAATGATGGAGTTCTAACACCCTTTTTTGCCAAAGGAGAAGAAATACCGTTGAAGTTGCCATTCACTAACCATGGTACATCTACTGCAGCTTGAATCCATCCCAAACTAACCCAAAGCTTCTCTCTGGCAGTCACAGTGCATCCAACATAAATAATGGTAATCTGAACTGTGCAATTCAGCAAAGAGATCTCTAAGTGCAAAAACTGTTTATTGTCAAAAAGCAGCTTAACTTCCACACCACTCTTCCACAGAAACCAAATTTTGCAATTGCAGTTATATACAAAATGGTATTTGCCCAACTGTTTGACCACATTAGAAATATTATTCTCATTTATCATTGGTTCTAATAAAGCAAAATATCTAAGCTTATGAATCCTACAAAATTTCAACAAACGATTAGACACATCAAGCTTAGCAATACCTCTAACATTCCATATGAGGAAATTAATCATAGTTAATGGATCTACTCCCCCTAATTTTCATAAGGGGAGCCCCATCATCAAGATTGGCTAGTATTCCGACTAAGGATGTACCTTTATAAAGCATCACTGCAATGGGGTCCATGTAGTTCAATTCCCTATGTGTTCTCTCTTTTTTCTTCCTAGACTTTTAGAGTTGCCATTCTTCTTCCAAAATTTCCTTAGCAGCCTGCATTTCTTCCTCCGTGAAGGGTTTCATCAACATTTGACTCTAATATATAGAAAAAGAATGAAAGCTAAAAAAATATTGTATGAGCTCTAAGGGCATGGTTCAAAAGTTTAGTTAAGATATATCATTGCAGCATGATTGTACAAAATATATTGATATTAATAGACACTTTATTAAGGAGAAGCTTGACAACAATTTAATCTTTTTTTTTTTTTTGAGCACAAGTAAACGGCTTATTTATATTCTCACCAACGAATTATCGAGGGTTGTCTTTCAAATATTATCATGCAAGCTAGGAATGGTTAATATACATTCATTCGATTAAGGGCAAGTATTAAATATCTACGTTATTTCTTCTAGTTGGGATACACAATCACCAAGACTACCACGCTTCTTTGCCACCTCATTAATTTGTGGGATCCATCATGCCTACTCATCAATATGTGAACAAGTATACTTATTTTACTCTTCAATTCATGGGACAATCGTGATTATTCTGTAATTTTCATTCCTTGATTTTGTATTTTTTTCCCCAGAATTGTATAAGTACTATAAAAATACTAGCATGAAATATACTCGGCCAATTCCTTAAAAATGTTACCAGTTATTAACATATTACTTATTTGTTAGAACTCTTTGATTTGATTTAATCTGTTTCGGCAAAGACTCAAGCTTAAACTAAACCATATATAATCTTTTTAGTTTACATCTTGATTCATTGTCAAAATCTAACCAATATCAAATCAATTAACTTTCCTAGTTTTGTTTGATTATTCGGTTCAGCCTTGTCCACCCTTATTCGAAAGTTTAGATTGAAATTTATAGTGAATATTTTCGCAGGGAGTTTATGATGATAGAAAAGACATTATTTTATTTATTCTTTTATCTAGCCAGTAAAAGAGATTTTCAATTAAAAAAAAAGGACGTACAATCCTAAAAATTATCTAAATTAGTATTGAGTTAATTGATAGGGAAATTTACATACGTAGCACACAATTCTCATGTATTTATATCTCACACCTAAAATTTCATGTTTACTTACATGGCACTTTGATGTTGTCAACCTATGCATGAAAAGTCGTATTTCGCTTTTAAAAGTGGTAATAGTGCTATTTTTTATGTGATATTAACAGTTTGAGTGCTATGTGCGTAAATATGGAAGTTTATGTCTGAGATATGTAGATACATAAGAATTGTGTGCTATTTATGTAATGCCCCTAATGGGTGGTTCATGTTCTAGCATATGCTTTCATATAACTGGACTAAACTGTTTAAACTTGACGAAAGTTCATTTTTTGGTTTCTCAACCATTTGTAACTTTTATAATAGTAAATAGATACAACACTCTTAATGTGTTTAATTGAAATCAATACATGTAGGCAATTTGCTCATTCATACCGAAACATTAAAGAACGTACTTATTTGGAGTTGAGATTCATATGTTATGCATCTATTCTTTTCACGCTATGAAGCCATGTGATAACAGATATGCTTATATTATAAAGATGTGTTATTTTTTATGTGGCACTTATTGATATTATTACATGGTGTAAGAGTGATTTCTGTAACGTTTTGTAAGTGATCGGAACAGCTGTTGTAAAGCACAATTACAGTTATTAAACACATTTCTAGGATTTGATTTGATAATGCAAATCCAATGTATAATTTAAAGTGGAAGCAATCAATTTATGCAAAAAAAAAAAAAAATGCAAACTTCATTGGAAAGCAAGGGAATCGATCTCAAACATTATTTTACTACTAACGATGAAAACAAATAATACTTAAAACACAATTCTAGTGGTAAAATTTTGTATTAATAATAATTATTAGTGAGAAACAAAGGATCGAGAAGACTGTGAAGGTTGTGAAGGTGAATAAGCTTTGTGCGCTAAAAGAAATTGGATTGTAAAATATTTGAAAACATCAATCAATCTTTCAAACAATCATAAGAAATAGAAGGAAAGAGGCTGCGGTATGAAAGAGAGAGAGGAAGATGTAACGAAATAGAGAGAGAACTGACTTGTTGGCAGTCCCCACACTTTGAATTTGGAGATGATCTAACTTCTAAAATGCTTTAAAGGACACTTGATCAAGGAGAAACTTGGAAGCGAAAATTGACATACAAACTAAAAGCTTACATTTATAAAGGAAAATGATAAAGCATCCAAGTTTTTTCGATGAGTGCACTGTTTGGATGACTTGGTATTGAATTAATAATTACTAATTAATGCTAGATGAATTAATAATTACTAATTAATATATATGTAAATGCCCCATTAATTAATATCTTACATGCATATAACATATTAATTAATGGGGCATTTACATATATATCACCTAATTCCTTTGTATTTGCATATCTAACATCTATTCTTTTGTTTTTACATTTATGCCACCCAAATCTTTCATATCACATAAAAATACCATTTTAACTTTTAAAATGTGAAATACACATTTTCATGCATAGGTATGTATGGATGTAAAAATTGAAGTTTAGGTGTTCAATATGTAAATACATAGGAATTGAGTGGTATGCATGTGAATCTTCCCGTTAATTTATTGTTTACTGGATCCCGGGGTCCTTCAACTTTTATATAGACTAAGTTTATGGTGAGACTTTCTTTGGTTCTTAATTGACCATCTTTTGTTTTTTTTTTTTTTTTTTTGGTTTTTCGTTTATCGGATTCCTCTTCCAAAGTGGGTGCTTGAAGAGATGGATAAAGATCCAGATTTAGCTTCTTTAGATAGGTTTGGACGAAGGAACAAAGAGTACCTCTCATTGGGCTGTGATAATCTTCCTGTTCTGAAGGGTCGATCACCCATTCAAGCTTATTCAGATTTTATGAGGAGCTTCCGAGATACTTTTAAGCACTATCTTGGAATTGTAATAACAGTAAGGTTTTGTCCTTCCACTTTTGTTACTTTCTTCTTCATTTGTATGCATGATATTAAATTTATTTATGCCCATTATACTGCTTCACGTTTTGCAGGAGGTCCAAGTAGGGATGGGCCCAGCTGGTGAACTCAGGTATCCTTCATGTCCTTCTGAGAAGCTAAAGCGACCAAGCAGTCCTCCTGAACTGGGTGAATTTCAATGCTACGACAAGGTCTCTAATTATAATTGCCTGCTTCGGGTCCTAAATTTGTTATTTACATTCCATAGTGAACCTTAGTCGCGGTGGTTTCTCAACCTCTAATGATTTTTATGTTATCTCTAATATTTTCTCATTCTTTTTTTTTTTTTAATATGCATGCACCACTGAAGGCGTGTGCACAGAAAATTGGGAAGCCCGAATGGGGTCATGGCGGCCCTCTCGGTGCTAGTAACCTCACGCAGAATCCAGAAGAGACTAGTTTCTTTAGGAGTAATGGTTCTTGGAATTCTGACTATGGAAAATTCTTTCTAGAATGGTACTCAGGTCTGTTGCTTCTTCATGGAGAGATTTTATTTATGGCGACAAGTGCAATATTTCTCCATACCGGTGTAAAGCTTTTTGCAAAAGTAGCAGGGATATTCTGCCATTATCTTACTTGTTCCCATCCATCTGAATTAACTGCTGGCTATTACAACACTCTAACCAGAGATGGCTACCTTCCTGTGGCACGTTTGTTCAGTAAATATAAAATAATCTTGTGCTGCCCCTGCTTTGAGATCCAAGATCCTGAGGAACTTAACGGCTCTAAAAGTAGCCCAGAAAGCTTTCTGAGACAACTCGTATATGCTGCTAGAATGCATAACTTACCACTCTCAGGTGAAATTTTTGGACCTATATTAGATGATAAATCAGTAAACCAAGTTATTAAGAATTCCAAACTTCACTCTGTTGGTTCTTATGAGCCCCCCTTGTCCTTCAACTATGTTCGAATGGATCGTCAGTTATTTGACCCCCATAATTGGCCTCGATTCAGCCAGTTTGTGAGGCAGATGTCGAATTCCAGGACTTTCCAGGCAAAGGTGGATTTTAGAGTGAGGGATCAATACCTCTTTTCTTGTTCTGCAACTGAGGAATTCTCAAGATCTCTTTCCTTTTATTGAGAAGATTATCAGCTTCGATGTGGCATCGGTACATATGTTACTATTCCCTTGCATTATCTTTCAAGATTCTTCTGGCATATTTTTTTTGTTCACAAGCATTGATTGCATGCAATATATTGTTCATAAGCTCTTGAAAGATAGGTTTATTTTTTGTTGCTGGATTGGTCTAATGGAGTTATTATTTGAGTTCTGTAGTTGTAGTGATACAGTGTAGCTTCAAATTGTTTATTAAAATTATGTAATTTCTGATTATTATGGAAGTCCCTAAGACGTTTTCACCACAATCTTATTACTTTGTTTTGCGATAAAATTCATTTATGACCGAGTTTGACGATACCATAAATTTACTTGTTCTCTATCCTGCTAATAATTGATGGCAGATGGGCATTATATATATATATATATATATATATATATATTTATATATATATAAATGTAGTTCTCCGGTGGGATATGGTTTAAATAAATTTTTAAATTTTAGCTGTTAAGGACTTGACCGTTGGGCTTGGTTAAATTTTGAAAAAGATTGGATAGGAAAGAATTTGTTGTTTCTGTTGTGTATAGGTGCACAGATAAAATAATCTGGCGTCGGCCTCTACTCTCTCTATATTAACCTATTTGCACCCTACATTAACTCATTCCTCTATTACCTCTCATCACTCCCTCTCTTTAATTCTCTCCGCTCTCTACCAGCAATAATCTCCATTTCTCTCCCTCTCCAATTCTCTTTAGTACTCTCAATCCAGCATGTTTTTTAAGGGACATTTACATGCATACCACTCATTTCTTATGTATGTACATATCTAGCATCTAAGCTCTTTTTTTACATTTATATCACCTAAATCTTTCATATAACATCAAAAATATCACTATCAAAAGTACGGTAGCATATATGTAAAAATTATAGTTTATAAATGTTGATTTGTAAATACACCAGATTTAAGTAGTATGTATGGAAGTCTTCCTTTTTAATTTCCTCAATGAGGGAAATTTTATAGCACTTGATGACCTCCTATTTATGATTCTTGACTAATTTAATAGTAATTTTTTTTTGGGATGATTGGCATGTTTGCATCTTTAGCTTACTAAAGCTTAAAAGATGTCGATTTTATGTCTTTTTTCATAATATTCTTTATGAGGCTATTTATTTGTAGGGGTTTTGAGTAATGCGTTTCAAATTTAAAGGATTTTAAATTTTTTGAATGTTTTGTTGAGAAAAAAATAAATTTAAGTTATGATTTTGAGGGGTTTGATCTTATCAATGACACTGGGCTTGTCGTGATCACTCGGGTGCAGGGTCTCCCGCAGCGGGATCGCGGGAGTGGGAACTCCCGCTAGTGAACCGACCAACCCAATTGAGGCCGGTCCAAGGGAATCTCGAGCCACAGCCTAGTGGCTCGGCTAGAATCCTGACGGGGCGAGCAACCTCCCGTGCCCCCTCCCGTGCCTTTTCTGAATCCAACTCGATCGGGCGGCCATTTAGGAAGGGCGTCATTGACGCTAATCCCTTTCCCCTCCTTTATTTTCTGTGATTTCCTTATGAGAGCTTTTTTTTTCTATTTTTCCACTGTGAGAGTTTTTGAATTGTTGCTTTCTGGTTGTAGGGTTTAGTTTTTGTTGTGTGTTGATTTCAGATTTCTTTGTGGATTACTTTTTCCCTTTGTGGGTTGTATCCGAGGAGGTGGTGATGCTCCGGCTATATCCCACTCCTAGGTGGTGATTGTATCTCCTCTTTTATCTTTCATACTCTTTCTCATCCATTTCCCTTAGCTGCCAACCACCTCCAACAGCTTCCCCCTGCATCATCGTCCCCTTTCTGCTGCAGCAACCTGCTGTCCAGTCCTTTCAAGCCCTTTCCGGCAGCTCCTCTAAAGCAGCCACCTTGCTGTCCTGGCCTTCCCAACTATTGCCCCACCTTCCCGATTTGCTACCCCACCTTCCAACCTACCTCTCAGCTGCCCAACAAACCTTCCTGTTGCCTCCCTCCTCCAGTCCACCTTCCAACCTCTGTTGGCCCTCTCCTACACTCACCCTTGTTGGCCCACTCCTCCATATCTACCGGGCCAACTTTCACCACCCTTGAGATACACTTTTGAGGTGTTTGATTGACCCTTCTTGCAACCGTGCCACCCCTTCATGCTCGCACACTCATCATGGCCGACCATTGTCGGTGACCTTTACTTGCCCATACAAAGTACCCGCAGCCTTGCCAATACCCGTAGTAAGCCATAATTCATGCCCTTATAGAAAAAAAAAAGAATAAGATAATTTGATTCACTTTGCAACAGTCCAAACACTAGAAGTAATTTTTATAGTGAAATAAACACCGAGTATTTCAATTACATTAAATTTATGTTGCATTATATCTAGAATACATCTAAATTTTAAACAATTCCGACTAAATAAACACTAAATGAAATTTTATGAAATCATAATCTTTATTTTATGAAATTATAATCTTTATTTAATAAAATAATTGATTCTTAAATTTAATTTTAACATCATTGCATTATTTTATTAAGCCATTAATCCAACATAAAAAATTATCATTTCCCTCTTAAAATATTTTTTACATAGTGTGATATAATTAAATAATATTTATTTGAAATTGTTGTTTTCATGACATGAGATGATAATTGAGATCTCTATGATTCAAGTTATAAATTTATTAGTCTTGTCTTTCAAACATGAAATATTCTTAAAATGAGTAGATAATTAGCACATTTTAGTTGTATAAGTAGAATCTTAAGGCAATTTACTTGGATGAACATAACATAGAATGCATGATCTCTCAAAGTGCACATATAAGTAATATCCATGTTGTGGATGAGGTAACACATGGCCTATCAACATTAATGATAGAGAGCACATAAATTTATTGATTAGAATGACAATCAAATAATATTTTTTATCTATTCTTTTACAAACATAACATTAAAGTTTGCCTACATCATTTGTGATTGATATGTATGGGGCAACTTGTTTACATTATAGTTTTTATTGCAATATCACTTTATACGCTAGAATCTCATACATAAATCCATTACAATTCTACAAAAATATGATCGCAGTCCAAATTATGAGTCTTTACAACTTTAGGAAATATATTTTATCATTTTGAGAAAGGCTATAAAATAATGACTCGTACCCCAAATGATGATTCAAGTGAGAATGAATGATGATGCCCCCAATAAATAGACACGAACAACTAATCTGAGTTCTTTGGACATAACATCGCTTGTAATCATACTTGCTCAAGTTTATATTTCTAATGAAATGATTTTTACCATTCATTTTGTGTAATGTTTTTATAACAAATAAATTAGGTGTGGGTACATCTTTGATGGTTTATTAGATTATCTTAATACATAATAGAAAGGAATAATTCTAGAATTATTTAACACAAGCATTTCTTTATAAGAAAGATGAAGTCAGAATATCTATTAAATGGTTAGTCTATAATTAACAATATAGAGTATTGCAAGGTTTGTTTATATAATGGCAGTTTAAAACTTACAATAGGGGTTCTTAGTTAATCATTAGTTTGTGTTTATTAATATAACATCATCATATTATTTATCAAGCGCTCTAATGATGCTCAATAATAAGAGAGAAATTGAATCATCATTTGTACCTAAGATGAACACAATTTTACCGAAACATGAAGATGGTACAAGGAGATACCTTAAACATATATGTATTAACTTCGAAGAGTTTGAGGCATTCAACTAGTCATGCAAGGCCTCTCACAATGATATATGAGAAGTGGGAACTATGAACATACAAGTAGTTATCTATAGATTTATAACATGTTGTGTTCATCTGCGATTTCTGCACTTGGGATGAAAATACTTATAGCACTTAATTTACATTTGTGGTGCTTCATGATAAAAAAACTATGATATATCGTGTAAGGCCGCATTCCATGCTATCCTTGAGTAGTCATCATGGAATGAGTACATCACAATAAAATGTATAATTGTATTGTGTGCTATCAACTAGAAGGACAAATAGGCCATGGCCACAAAGATAAAATAATACTTTGGATACACTAGAGTTTATAAAAATATACTTTTATGGTATTTGTAAAGTTATTTAGATAACAAAATGAAATGTCCAAATAAAGAGTTTCAAGTACTACGAAATTTTATGATCTAAAAATGTGTACATTAAAAATTCAATTTGTAATGACATTCATTCTTTATCCTTGCATGGCAGGTGGCCAATTATAAGTACATTTATGATGAAATATTGAGAAAATAGCTAGATGGATAGATTGAAAACCTCATATGCTTATTTAAATTGTTAAAATTCTACAGATAGTTAGTTAAACTGATTAAAGTTTGATTACAACCCTAAACTCCATAATAAACTTAATAAAAAAATTTGAACAAGATTTTAAAATTCAAGTTGTGTCTACTTTGATAAGAAAATAAATAAATGAACTTGAACAATAGTTCTACAATTAATTTAAAGAAGATTCATCTCAAGAAACAACAAACAATACAATTGATATATGGGGCATGGTGATTCATAGAGCCTAATGTTATATATGGATAGTTATATAAATAAATAAATGTATGCCATGCTTGAATACCTAACAAGCCTAGCTAAATAAGTGGCTCAAGCTCTCAGTTTGTTTGTACCCCTAATCTGAGAAAGCTGAATCGGAGAAAGCTTCATGAATAATTGAAAGACTTCTGATAAAATATACATGGAAGATTTACATGCATACCGCCCAATTGCTATGTATTTACATATCTAATACCTAAACTGTTTTTCTTTACATACATATCACGTTACATATACATGAAAAGTTGTGTCTCGCTTTTTTTTTTTTTACGTTAAAATCGTGGTATTTTTTATGTGATGTGAAAGATTCGGGTGATATAAATGTCAAAAGGAAAATTTAGGTGTAGGATATGTAAATACATAGGAATTGGGCGGTATGCATGTAAATGCCCCTTTATATTTATACACTATTAGATTGTGTGTTTGATTCTATTGGTAATTTATTTGTCCCTATATTTAGTTGTTGGAATTTTACAAAATGAAACAAATACAAACGCTGGAGCACATTCAATACACTGCTCGCTCAATTGTGTTATATCAACCCTTCATTTGCTTACATTTGCATTATTGAAATTGGTAGAATTTTACAAAATGAAATAAATACAAACGCTTGTGCACATTCAATACACTGCTCGCTCAATTGTGTTATATCAACCCTTCATTTGCTTACATTTGCATGC